AAAAAATATAACATGCTTCAAATCGCTTTAAACTATTGTCATTGTAGTGGGTATTTAATGTGGCGCTGCACTCTGATGTTGTAGGAGAAAACATTTATCAAAAAGTCTATTTAAGTAGAACGTGTTGTCTGTATTTATTTAAAGTTGCGCATTTTGATGTGACGTCACATTTCTCAACCCCCCCCCCCTCGTCACACATCGTCACACATGTCTGACCCCCACCCTAGGTGCGTGACGTCATTTATGGACGGCCCCTAACTATATACACACTTGACAGTTTAACTACTCAATCGGACCAGAACAGCGAACACGCTGTCTGGTCCACATGCGCGAAGACCGGAGACTGAGGACCCAGGATCGAAGACAGAAGATTCCTTCCCAGAGATTAATAGCCCCGATCACTCTGGGCACTCGGCCTTTATGGACTGCAGCGTGGCCAGGCTCCGCCCTTGGCCACGCCCCTTTCCAGATCCTTCTCGGAGACTCTGGGCCCACATCACGTGTCCCTCTCACCTCCTCTTTGGCCCTCGTGACCGCCTCGTCCGGTCACGTGCCCTCTCGGGTTCACGCAGACTGTTACATCCTCACCCGAACTCTCTCTCTCACTGCCACCGGGACAATGCCCTCGATTGAGCCCTGCCATGGCATACTCACTCTGGTGCTAGAGAGATGCTCCACCACATACAGTAACACTCTTCACTCGGTACTGTCGCTACAGGTGTAGTGACACCATTTATGTCACTACACCTGTAACCCAAAATTTAAATCTGGTGGATTAATATCGTCAATTAAGCCGACGATACATGGTGCCTGTCTCAGGATCTACGTGTTTTTTTTTTCAATTAGTAAGGAATGATAGCCTGGGGTCGAGACTGCGGACGAAGTGGCAGTCATAGGAGGCAAAACCATGCCCGACAGTACATCCACCGTGGAAATGGAGCGATGAAACACCACCTCGCGTGCAGGTGCAGCTCGTGTCCAAGGGGCGCTGTGGTGGCGAGATGTTAACTCCCTCGCTTGGTATGCAGGAGGTCGTGGTGGTCGATCCCGACCCTGACGCCTGCTGTATATTTGGAGTGTGCGGTGTCTCTCACCCCGTGGTCGCGTGGATTTTTCTCGTTTCATTGCATTAGCCTCCGATTTTTCCCCTCCACATTTGGAATCAACATCACGCGTTTGGAGTATTTGGCTGCTATACATTTCCACGTGATAAGCCACTTCGTTGAGTCATCATTTGTGGCCAGGTCGCTTCTGAAAAATATTATTAAAGCTCAGCAGGTCTTACTTGGTAAAATAAAAATATTTTAGTAGTTTATAGTTAATTTATAGATGAAGTGACAGGTGGCAGCGGTTTGGCAAGCCATTAAAATCCAGCAGCAACCTTATATTCATGACCAGCTCATGATGAATATGATGCACACATGAAACATGTAATTGCAATCCACGGTCTATAATTACACTGAATTTAGATTGCATAGTCTAGATTCCCATTCAATCAGAGTCTATAGTTCAGACCAGGGGGTCGGTAACCTGCAGCTTTAAAAAAAAGGACTGCTTCGTGACCGTCATTTTATTAAGGACTTCTTTGTGACGTCGTGTGACGAAGGGGGAGGGGGGGGCAAAAATCGTGACGTCATTTATGGACGGCCCCCTAACTGGTGTGGTGTGTGAACATCGCCACTGGGGAGACAAAGGCGGTCGGCCGTGTTGAATCCAAGTCCTGGGCGAAGCTGGGTAGTATAAAGCTAGTCAGTAATAAGAACAGATAATAATGCAATTCAATTCCACAGTGCACATCAATACCCTGCGACAGTAATTAAATTGCACACAAGGCGCATTAACATCAGTCATTAGTTGTTAAGCTGCTACTCAATAGGTAACTATTCATAATTCCGATCTAAAACAACTTACTATCCAGAATTGAAGCTTTCGTGACTGCAATACTTACTATACATACTCATTGGTTCTTTCGGTAAAGTCACGTATGTAGAAATAAAACAAAATTTAAATAAATCAGCCCAGAAGATGAACACAAAATTTAGCAGTCTTTTGAAATACGTGGTCAACCAGGTTAGTGTCTAGCCGTGTTGTTGGCCGACTGGTTTGCATCGCGTTAAGTTTCTAAAGTTTGTTGAGTTAGTGTTCTCTCAGCTGCTTGCTGTATTTGCCTCCGTGCAGTTTGCCGTTCCCTGTGTGTGTGATGTCCCTCTGTGTGTGTGATGTCCCTCTGTGTGTGTTCCCTCGCTATGTGTTTTGCCCAATTTTCACCTGATGAGCGCTTGTGTTGCCTTAGAAACGCCGTGATTTAATTTTATTTTATTTGTGATTTTTACATTTTTTTTATTTTATTTCAACTTACAATTCGTTCGTACACATTTTTCAAATAATTAAAGTGTAAACAAGCGAAGTATCCGCACCTTATGATCCACTCTTATCTCTCCGCTGGCCTCCTTATGTATGTGCTCTGAAGAAGGGCCATTTCCCGAAACGTCAACTGTTATATTCATACCTCTCAACCCATACGGGTTTATCCGTATTCTTGTACAGGGAAATTTAGTTTTCAGGGCCTTACGGCGTAACAGCCGTTTCAACACGGACAAAACATATTTTTTGTGTCTATTTGTTTGTGTTTCTCCCTTGTGATGGGACTTTCTGGGATGAACTTTGATCAATAAGGTCGGAATTGGTCTGTAATAAGGTGGGGCACTAATAAGGCGTTGACATGTATGACTATCCGTTAGGACACATTAAAAAAGTAAGTGAAGTTTCCAACCCATGTGATCAAGTTTAACACGTAAGATTTCGAGACCAATATCCATAATAAAGCGTTGTTTTAGATTAAATCGCGTAAATATGACACAACAAATTGTCTTTCCGCCTAATGATGCCGGGTGCAATTACTGGCGAAACGTCGTACTCGGATTGTAAATGTTGTGGCTTGGCTCTCCAACTTTCACCGGTGTTGCTGTACTAGTAACTTTTTTGGCAAGTTCTGTTTACGCGACACAAACCTTACTAGTTGGCTGTGTCGGGTGGTGGCGGGTTTAACGACAACATTTATTTATTTACGCCGTCTAACACAAAAAAACAATCATCTTACCTATCATAAATTACGGACCTTACGATCCATCTCTATCTCTCCGCTGTCCTCCTTACGCGTGTGCCCAAAAGCAGGGCCATTGCCCGAAACGTCGACTGTTATATCTATATATTTTTGAAAAAGTTTTTCTTTATGTCATTCACGAATGTTGCTGTTGTTTGTTTATTATTATTGTTGTTGTTGTTATTTAAGTGTCGACCAAGGCCCTTCCCACCTGTCGCTTTGCCCGAGAACCCTAAGGAACCGGCCAAGGCTCAAGGCCATGGAGGCGGCGGCGGCGGCGCGTTGAGTCCCGCGGCCCCGAACGATGCCTCAGCACGGCGGCGACCTGGCGCGTTTCTACACCGTCACGGAGCCGCGGCGACATGACAAGGGACACACGGTCTACAAGGTCACCGCCCGGGTAAAACAAAACAACAACATCATCATTATCCTCGGGGCACTGACTGGGTTGGGAGGCGTTCGGAACACTCACCCCGCTCGCTCAGCGCATCCTCGGTCTTGCCTAGATCGGCCCTGCCGCACAGGGGCCGATGTACCCCGGTTGGGGTGGCCAGGCGAGCCCGGGGGGAATGGGTTCGGTGGGGGTGCAGCAGGAAACGCGGATTCCGAGATGATTTACAACGTAATTTAATGCAACGAATTTAAAATGCACTTGCACTCTTGATGAAGGTTGCTTATATTGCAGAACTGCAATTCGACTCGCGTGTTAGCGGATTGTAGAATGGCGCGATAAGAGATAGCAGCACCTTAGAGAGGCCTTCGTCCCAAAGTGCACTGATGATGAATGCTAATGTATATAGCCCATTGTCAATCCACTGCTGGATTAAGGTCTCCTCCTGCCCTGTCACAGGCTATGCAGATTGTTTGTCCATACTTCACTACGCCGGTCAGTGTGGGCTTAGTTATGGGGGGTTTCCCAGGTCCGCTTCAGACGTTACTCGCCACTGATGTTCGCCGTGCACAGGTATCGAACGCGGGCCTGCAGCCCAGTAAGCTAACCACTGCGCCACTATTTCGGGTGGTAATTAGGCATCTTGCGCATGATGATGATGATGTTAATCTCTGCGTCGGTCCACGCTGGTCAGTGCTGGATAGTGAAGCGAGATTGGGCGCCAAAAACCCAGTTCGGATATCAGTCGTCACTCTCTGGTGGTTGTGAGTGCCGTGGCCAGGAATCTAACCTTTGATTGGCATGGCTCAAAGCGCAAGGGCCCTCACCACCTCACCACCACTCCACCCTGGCACAAAACCCCCCCCCAAAAAAACAGTTCGGACATCAGTCGTCACTCTGGTGGTTGTGAGTGCCGTGGCCAGGAATCTAACCTTTGATTCGCATGGCTCAAAGCGCAAGGGCCCTCACCACCTCACCACCACTCCACCCTGGCACAACACCCCCCCAAAAAACCCAGTTCGGACATCAGTCGTCACTCTGGTGGTTGTGAGAGCCGCGGCCAGGATTCGAACCTTGTTCGCATGGCTCAAAGGGCCCAGGCCACCGCACCACCACTCCACCCTGGCATAAACCCCCCCCCCCCAAAAAAAAACATGCTGTTCCACCTGCACTGCGAGTGGCGATCAACATGCAGGGGAAGATTGACATGTTCACTGTTCAAAACAAACAGGCTTTCTTCCCTCACCCGCTATTTGTGCACATCTACGATAGACGTCAACCCAGCATTGTTTGATTAGTCTGTGTGTTTCATCCTGTGTTTTTAATTCTGGAGGTTCATTACCTGCAAAGGGGTGTTTAGTGTCACCAGAAAAAACTTGTAGCATCGTGTGTCTTGTTCTTACACCCTGTGTACATGTATCTGTTGCACCGTGACAGATTGTTTCAAGAAAGAATCCGGAGAATGTTGAAGAGGTAACTGTATTGGTACAACCTCTTGCGTGAGCTCATCCTCTTTCAGCACCACACCGTGTCTTGAGGACCTGAGTCATTTCCAGGATGAAACTGGTGAATTGTGTGTGCCGTCAATCCACTGCTGGATAAGGGACCTCCCCACGCCATCTGGGTTGTTTGACGATGCTTTATTATGCTGGTCAACAACGCTGGTCAGTACGGATTAATGAAGACAGCATATATGTTGTAACATAGAAGTGCGGTACAACATTGGACTGTGTTGCACTGCCGATGGCTTCCATATTAAAATGATTTGTTTACCAATGCATCCACTTGTTAGATTATGCAGTTTCTATACTTGGGTGTCATTACATGGCATAATGCACTCATATATATGCATGTATGTTGAACTTCTTTCGCACCGTACATAGCCAACCGTGCTAATTGGAGGTGTGCGGAAATTCAAGTTGTTGTATTTGTGGTTGCAGATAGTGGTGTGGAAGAGATATAATGATATTAAGAAGCTGCACAAGGAGCTGTGTATGATCCATCGAAACCTTTTCCGGAGGTCTGAAGAGTTTCCACCTTTTGCAAAGGCAACTGTTTTTGGTAAGTATAAATAATGTTGATTTTAACCGTGGTAATATAATGAGCGATACATTGATTATGTTAAATCATTATGCTCATGGTATATGCATAAAATAATGTCCACGAATTGATAATTGATTTTGATAATTATATACTATTCATGTTCTCAAATAAGAATTAACAAGACAGAACATACTATGCAAGTGAGACCATACAAGGCAAATTTAAATTAATCTTCAGCTACATCACAAACATTAATCTTGACAATTCATGAGATTGTTTTACCTAATCATTTTAAAAGAAGTCCATTAACTTTTGTAGTCTACCCCTAATCAACGAATTAAAAGTGTTTGAATAAAAAAAAAACCTTTCGGCAGCTGAGTTCTTTTTTAATACATTGTAAGTGAATTGCCAGGCTATGAGCAGCCTTGCTTGCACAGGACGCTTTGAGGATTCCGTGATTGAGGAGAGGCGACAGTGCGCCGAGGACCTGCTGCAGTTTTCAGCCAACATCCCGTCCCTCTACAACAGTCGGCAGCTGCAGGAGTTCTTTGAGGTGTGCGGCAGATTGATACGGAAATGCTTCTGATAGATCGAGGGTTCTTCAAATGGTGGACCGTGGGCCACATCTGGGCTGCGAAAGCTCTTGGTGTGAACCCGCTGAGAGCAATGGTCCTTCGAGAGATGTGTGGCTCGCCAGAGATAGAGAAATCCAGATGAGTGCATTAAATGATAAATAATCAGGAGGTAGACATTGGAGAGGTGTAGACGAGAGATACAGACGAGTGTGATGATAGAGTGGTAGTCAAGAGATAGAAATTAAAGAGCTGTAGACGGGATGCATACTAGTGAAATGAAAGATAGACAAGAGAGATTTGACAGACCTGGAGTTGAGATACAGATCAGCGGTCACGTGTATAGGTGTTATAACGTCACTTGATGTCATAACATCTCTACACATGGCATATTACATCACGTGGCCTGCCAGAATATGATTATTTTATTGTGGACTGCTGTAATAGGGGAAAAGTGTATCTTGTGGAGCCTAGACAGTGTTAATGTATTGTGGAATAAAAACATTACGTTTCATCCTGTGGGGCTTTTTAAACTCTGACCTTACTGTTTGGAGATGTCCAGTGATTTTGAGGCATCATGTGTTGATTTGCATCATGGGTATCTGATAAGGTGCGAGTGCATACAAAATGTAGTGTTCACTATTACCGAGTATTTATGTAATCCTCTTGCTAGTTTATGCTCCCTAAATTAACAAATCCATGAAGTCAGTAATGTAAACTAAAGCACGTTTGCCATTAACAGGGTGGTGATAAGCACGAAGGATCGGACATAATTGGTCCAGCCGACAGCCCGACCGACTCTTTCTCTGATTCTCTACACCAGGGACCTGAAGACAGGCTACAGGTATCACAGGGAATGCAACAACTGTAATTTTGCAGCTTTGTAATTGTCATATCAGCATCCACTGCTCAATGAAGGCCTCCACATGCCGTCTCCGTCTCTCACGGTTTTGTGACACCACAGTCCATATCGCTCTCTCGCGTGGGTGGATCACATCGCTCCATCTCTCCGGGAAGTGGTATTCTTGGACGTGTTCCCTCCCCTGGCTGCGATTCCATCATCAGTCTCGATTATCTGCTGTTATCCCTTCGAGTGATCGATGATGCTCACAAAGTTGGCAGTATTTCTTGGTCTCGCCATGCTACAAGGAAATACTGGTTGGCTATGTACAGTGCAAAAAAAATTCAAGGTCCTGGTCTGCCTTCAATAATTGTCCGAGGAATATGTATACTTGTGTGCTCTTCAGTTTTGTCCCTCCAACCAGTATTTATTTTTGTTATATGACCATACTTCACTACACTGGCCATTCTGGGTCGATGAAGGCCGGGTACACGGACGTGGGAGCATAGACTTTACAGTACAGCAATTATACTGGTAGGAACGAAGTTGTAAACTGAGTGTACCAGCCTGCAATAGATTAATGTGTCCGTCCGTCCGTCCCCTTTCAATACTTTAACGAAGTGAAATCTCGTGCTGTTGGGTGTAAAATCAGCAATAGACAGCGCAGAGACTTGTCCTACCAGCCCACCCTGCAGGGACCTGTTTTTTTTCTGTACTGCCTTCAGTTACCAACATTGCAGCATAATTTCCGCGGTATGCCTTAACGTCACATCATGCCGAGCTCGGGCAGATAAGTGCCCTTGCAAGAACAGGTTCAGTACGCCGCTTGAACGTAATTTATCAGCAGAGGGCGTCACAGCGACACTGTACTGGATAAATAATGCTCATGCTGTCGTCTCTTCTCTGATCCACCAAGGGCAAGGGCCCGCTGTCATCGCACGCGAGGGAGGACGGCGGTGATCGAGACGAAGAGACGGAGAGTGTGGACACGCTGCCCGACCTTCCCGACATCTTGCTGACCTCCCCAGCGCCTGGCGCGGCAAGCGGCACGGGTGCGTTGGCAACGACACCTTGAATCCCAGGGTGAAATGGAAAACAAATCGAGCAAAAATTCACGCTTTATTGTCAGCATCGATCTATGAATTGATTGACAAAACCAAAGAGCAAGTGCTTTTTACTTAACGAGAGAGTGCCACATCGCAGGCTGAAATGTAAGCTTTTCTACTTTACTGATTTTTGCACGGATGCCAATTCTATTGATCGACTTCAGCCGCAGAGGAAAATGCCCCATGGTGGCTGGGATGGAAAATTTTTGTATCTACTTTTGGAAACTGTGCCAGCCACTGTTTCAAATTTTACTGAGCCCTGATTGCAAATATCAAACATATGACATTTTCATATCCGCACACTGTATACATTGTGTGTATATGAAAATATAAACACCTCCGGTTAGCACGGTTTACTACGTAAGGTGCGAAAGAAGTTAAACATACATACAGTAAACATTTACACTATTTATACGCGAATAATAAAGTACGGTACCTACCGTTTACGAAATACACCCTTTAGTTGGTGTGTTAACTATCGTGTGTGCAGTTCATTCCCATCGCGTACTTTTTACTTCCCTGTATTTTTGTTGTTGTTGTAAGTGTTAAGAAATTCTTCATCGGAGGAAGTGTTGTCAATTCCGCTGACGGTTTTTGCACGTGGCCATGTTGCACAGGGTCCGGCTGCAGTGGGCTGGATGTGTGCGGCCCGGCGGCGACGGGAGGCGGGGTGAGTGAAGCCGCCGCGGACATTCTTCTACCGAGCCTTCCCTCAACCGCCGGGGAGATGGAGCCCCCGGCCTCCCCCTTCTCATCGCCGTTGTCTCCGGACGGTGTTCCTGGCGACGACGAGGCCGATGATTGGCCAGACGGAGCCGGGGCTGGGAGGCCAGCCATGGGCCGGCAGGACAGCCTGTTCAGCCTCTCCACTGCCGGCCGAGGGAAAGACGACTACCTGGTGGTGGCCAGTCAGCAAATCCATCTGGCGCTAGCCCAGGAGGTGCTCGGGAACTACCAAGGTGCCTTCGATGCCTACAAGATGGGCGTTGACCTACTCCTGCAGGGCGTGCAAGGTACGCTGTCTGGCAGGAACATACGTGTGCATTTCACGTTGGCTTTGAATAACAAGATGGTGATTGAATGCAGATGTCACCAGCTCATTTTGCTCACTTGGCAGAATGTTTTTTAAAGAGTGGGCAAAGTGCATCTCTCCCAGTAAGGTGGTATTGCCCATTGTGCTGTGAAAACATGGGGAATCAGAAACGGTTTAACAGGGACCCCTTAGACTAGAGTACACCTTTATTTTGTGTACCACGCGCAAATGTATATCTAAATACCAGTCGCGGCCCCCACAATATATTATTTTATCATAGCCATCTGTCGTCTCTTTTTCGAGCCAAGAACTCGGATTGATTAAAATATTTATTTTTCCCTCCTCAAAATAACGGCTGTTCGAGGAAGCTGATAATGATGCCAACTCTCTGTCAGCCCACATTAATGGCTCAATTGCCGGTGCGCGGTAGAAGCGTCGGTTGGTGGGTGAGGCTCGTCGGTGGGTGGTGCGTGCGCACAGGTGACACGAACACAGTGCGGCGCGACATGGTGAAGAGGAAGACAGCGCAATACCTGTTGCACGCCGAGGAGATCTACACCGGCCACCTGCAGGCCCAGCCGGAGACGGGGGCCATGGCACAGGCTGACCGGGTACGTGCCCTGCGTGAGTGTGTTTTTGTCGCTCCTTTCCTTCTGACACTGCGTATGTGATGAGGATGCCTGCTACTGCCTGATGAATCGCTGCGCCGCCCCCCCCCCCCCACAATCAATTACTTGTCATGATTTGTGGGTCACAATGTACAATATCATAATGATCGTCATCAGCCGTGATCTGTCCACTGCTGTCGCCAACGCACACGGTCGCGCAGTGGAGCAATCCATCTCACTCGTGCGCATTGACCGAAGTCATCCTTCTGTGTGGTAGTTGTAATGTGTTCCCTCCTTTGGCTGGCATTTCGTCGTTAGGCTTGACCACAGGCCATCATGTTTTTTGGCAACGAAGGCTGCCCAAGTGCGCTTGGGCATATGTTGTATAATCCACTTCCTGGCCCCTGGTGTAATTCTTAGCATGCACCTTTTCATTCCTCTTTGTACACTTTTCAATCTACCTTTTGATCTATTTTAAATGAAGCAATGTTCCCGGCCTACAGGGCACCGTTTGCATTGCCCAGCTTCCACATTTTTTATCCCCATGTCCTTTATTTGAGTTTTATTATGGCCACAACCCCCCCCACCCCACCGCCCCCATTTCAATCGCAGGTGGACGCAAATGTGGGTCATCGTCGGCTTAACTTTTATACACTCGTCCGACATCGGCTCCAATGTTTAAAGTGCTTATTTATTTATATTACATAGCATTACAATTTTGGTATGTGGAGCATTACACAGTGTAAACATGCGGTATGTAACCCTTGGCTTCTCGGAAAACTGAAAAGCCTACCGTTCCTCAAACCTTCGCCTCGACCAGTTGGCTCATGGTGAATTTGTTGTCTCGTTCACTCTCCGTTGATGTGTGTGACAAGTGCGGAATGGAGACCCGCGTAGAAAGTAGGTCGAAGTAGAACAGGCCACGTCTTGTTAAAATAATGACCATTGTTTGACATGAATAAGAAGTTTTTCAATGCGCCGACTGTATTAAGAAGGACGGGAGGGACAGTGCTGTTTGTGGGTGCACATTTTTGTATAGCGGAGTAAACAGGCCAGCGTTGAAGAAAAGCCACCCTATGTCCTGTGATTGGCGCATCTTGTCAAGACAATTAGTAATGAATGGGCGCTTGCGCTTAAGAACAGAACACAAGTAACAGTAATTGGCGAGCATGGGCTCTAATCACTGGATGCTGCTCACAAACGGGACACTGAGAAGACCTTCCCAGAATTGTCTTGTACGTGGGCACATGACCTGTGCCTCTTGCTTTTATCTTGCTTCATGCTGCTGCTGCTGCTTCTGCTGCTGCCTGCCTGTTTCCACCACTCATCTTCTCCATGAACTTATGTTGTATGTACAAACGCATCGACTCAGAATTGTCACAAATGTTTCTTGGTCCGGCACTATGCACGCAATAGTTGGGCAAGGTCCTTAACACAGATGTAAAGTGTTCAGGTGAGGTCCTTTTGGCCGTACGCAGAAATTGAGCTGTTCGTCTTGTCTACAGTTTGCACTTTGGCGGGCTGCACCATAGCTGTTTATCTCTTTTTTGAGTGCAGGATGTTTTACCTCCCCACATTTGATATTTAGTGCCGTTCGGTAACATGCGGCTTGTGACTGTAGCATCCAGAATACGCCCGATCTCATCGGATCTCAGGAGCTAAGCAGGGTTGGGCCTGAGTAGCGCCTGGGTGGGCAACCACCATACACATCAGGTTGTGACATGCTGCTGCGCGGCTACATGTTGGGCACCATCAGGGAAGTGCAATAAAAAATTTAATACTGTACCATAGTGCTGCCCTCCACCAACCTGCATTGACGTGGTGAAGTAAAGTCAAATAACCTCCGTGAATCGTACCGTGTGGGCAGGACCTCGTCCGTATGTATGTGTATGTTGCTTGTATGTATGTTGAACACCTTTCGCGTCGTACGGAGCCAACGGTGCTAATTGGAGGTGCGAGGGCAACAAACTAAACACGAAAAGTAGTTCTAAATGATGGCAGCTGCACAACAATTAAAAGAGATCCCACCAACTGCCTCGTTACAAAAACGAACAGTATCATCACCGATTCAGCTTCATTAATTGAACAGACCAAACGGTTTTCCTTAAAACCTTCTGCTGATAGACCACCCAGACTAAATGGCTTAACAAAAATCCATAAAGAAAGCACACCCCTTCGTCCCATCGTCTCCACCATTGTGTCACCCACCTCCAAACTGGCCCGATTTCTGTCTGAGACCTTGCAGCCATTCACTGGTAAGACCACCTCTTCTGTTCTTAACTCAACTCACCTGGTATCGTCAATTAAAGACATCTCACTGTCCCCAGGAAATATGCTCATTGGTTTCGATGTTATTTCTCTATTCACCAAAGTTCCTGTGCCCGATACCATTGCAATAATTGAAGATTTGGTCCAACAAGGACTGAATGCTGATGTACCAGCCCTGGTGAAACACTGCCTCACCAATACATGCTTCACTTGGAATGGAACATTCTACAAACAAACTGAGGGCACCCCAATGAGTTCTCCCTTATCTCCGGTTGTGGCCAACATTTTCATGGGAAATTTTGAGACGAATGCCATCCAGGCATTCACTCTACACCCGTCCTTGTGGAAGAGGTACGTGGATGACACGTTTGTCATCTGGCCACATGGCCGACCTACTCTGGAACAATTCCTCAACAACATCAATTCCATACACCCAGCAATCAAAGTCACCATGGAGGTAGAAAAGGATGGCATGCTGCCCTTTTTGGATGTCTTAATCAAAAAGAGGCCAGATGGCTCAATGAGCCACTGTCTAGAGGAAAGTAACCCATACTGATGCCTACCTATAACTTGATTCCCACCACCATCCATCCCAGAAGAATTCCCTTATCAAAACGCTACACCATAGAGCTCAATGTATCTCCGACCATGAACACCTGACCAGTGAACTCAAACACGTACACCAGGCTCTCAAGGCGAATGGATATTCTGACTACACAATCCGCAAAGCCATCACCCCAACCGTGAAGAAGGAGCCATCTGAAGATCCATTCAAAACCATCACATTACCTTACATAGCAGGTATAACCAAAAATATTTCCAAAATCTTGAACAAACACAAGATCCAGGTCCGATTTAACACAGTGCATACAATTCGTGACCTGATCCCATCTGTGAAGGACAAGATTCCTGACATGCAATATCCCGGCGTCTACAAACTAAGCTGTATCTGCGGCAGCAGTTACATTGGGGAAACCAAGCGACATGTCTCGGACCGTGTTCGTGAACATAAAGCAGATCTGAAACACGGCAGGACCAATACTTCTGCCGTGGCTGATCATTACTTTAATGCGGCTGGCTCACATGAAATTGATTTCTCTAAGACAATGTTACTTTGCAAGCTGACTGGCTATCAACAAAGATTCGTTCACGAAGCCATCCATATATACAGACACAATTTTAACCGAGACGACGGTTTTCAACTCAGCAATCATTGGAACGATGTCATCAACCACTTTGGGTCATGACTTGATTTGTGTTTTCTTGTCCACTTCCACCATCAGCAGTGTGGGTGTGTGGAGCGAGGTGCAATGCTTTGATTGGTGTAGACCAGGGGTCGGGAACCTATGGCTCGCGAGCCAGATGTGGCTCTTTTGATGATTGCATATGGCTCGCAGATAAAACAAAATATTCTCACTTGTTTTAATCCATCCATCGATTTTTCACTGCGCATGTCCTGTTCAGGGCTGCAGGAGCAATTGTCCATTATTTTAATTGGATGATACTGGCCTACGTTTGTCGTTGCTGGGTAAAACAGGTAAACGCCCCCTTTTGAATCAGTCTGAGACTGCGTCTGCTCGGTCATTAGCTCAAAGCTAACCCTTCGACGAAGAAGATGGCGAAAAGAAAAAAAGACGACGAGTATCGTACATTTCAGGACGAATGGACCGAAGAATTCGCCTTTGTGGAGAGAGCGGGTTCTGCGGTGTGTCTAATTTGCAATGACAAAATTACATCGTTGAAACGGTCGAATGTAAAGCGGCACTTCGACACGCGCCACGCTACCTTTGCATCAAAATACCCTGCGGGAGACAGCAGAAAGAAAGCGTGCCAAGAGCTTCTGAGCAGGGTGCAAGCTAGCCAGCAGCAACTCCGCGTATGGACCCGGCAAGGTGACTATAATTCGGCTAGCTTTGCTGGTTCTTTAGCAATAGTGAGGAACGGAAAACCATTCACAGATGGCGAGTATGCTAAAACGTTCATGCTGGATGTAGCCAATGAACTTTTTGATGATCTTCCGAACAAAGACAAGATAATCAAACGGATACAAGACATGCCTCTGTCGGCAAGAACTGTTCATGATCGTACCATCGTGATGGCAAACAAAGTGGAGGAAACGCAAGTGAAGGACATAAATGCAGCGCCGTTCTTTTCTCTGGCTTTGGATGAGTCAACAGACGTGAGCCATTTGTCGCAGTTCAGCGTGATTGCAAGATATGCTGTTGGTGACACACTGCGCGAAGAAAGTCTTGCTGTTCTGCCATTAAAAGGGTCCACAAGAGGTGAGGATTTATTCAAGTCTTTCATGGAGTTTGCTCAAGAAAAAAGTCTACCTATGGATAAACTTCTCTCAGTGTGTACTGATGGTGCTCCGTGTATGGTGGGGAAAAACAAAGGATTTGTGGTGCTTCTCCGTGAACATGAAAATAGACCCATCCTAAGTTTCCATTGCATTATACACCAGGAGGCACTTTGTGCTCAGATGTGTGACAGGCAGTTTGGCGAAGTGATGTCGCTGGTCATTCGTGTGATCAACTTTATTGTTGCCCGAGCCTTAAATGATCGCCAGTTTAAAACACTGCTGGATGAAGTTGTAAATAACTATCCTGGTCTGCTTTTGCACAGCAATGTGCGTTGGTTGTCAAGAGGGAAGGTGCTTAGCCGTTTTGCGGCTTGCCTGAACGAAATCCGGACTTTCCTTGAAATGAAAGGCGTCGGGCATCCTGAGCTAGCCGACACCGAGTGGCTCCTCAAGTTTTACTATCTCGTAGATCTGACTGAACATCTGAACCAGCTCAACGTGAAAATGCAAGGCATTGGAAATACAGTGTTATCCCTTCAACAAGCTGTATTTGCTTTTGAAAACAAGCTGGAGCTTTTCATCACGGATCTTGAAACAGGTCGTTTACTACATTTTGAAAAACTGAGCCAATTTAAAGATGCATGCACAGCAAGTGAGCCCATTCAAAACCTTGATCTCCACCAGCTAGCTGGCTGCACATCCAGTCTCCTACAGTCCTTCAAAGCACGCTTTGGAGAATTTCGTGAGCACACTCGTCTTTTTAAGTTCATCACCCATCCAAACGAGTGTTCACTGAACACAGCCGACCTGAATTACATCCCTGGTGTCTCCGTCAGAGATTTTGAAGCAGAAGTGGCTGACCTGAAGGCCTCAGACATGTGGGTGAATAAGTTCAAGTCACTGAATGAAGATTTGGAAAGAATCACACGACAGAAAGCGGAGTTGGCGAGCAAGCACATGTGGACAGAAATGAAAAAACTCCAACCCGAAGACCAGCTGATTCTCAAAACTTGGAACGCGCTTCCTGTCACATACCACACACTGCAGCGTGTGAGTATTGCTGTATTGACCATGTTTGGATCTACGTATGCATGTGAGCAGTCATTCTCACATCTTAAAAACATCAAGTCCAACCTACGATCACGTTTAACGGATGAAAGCCTCAACGCTTGCATGAAGCTTAACCTCACCAAGTACCAACCCGACTACAAAGTACCAACCCGACTACAAAGACATCAGCAAATCCATGCAGCACCAGAAGTCGCATTAATGGTGAGTGTTATAACAACATTATTTAAAAGAATAAATTCAGAGGCTTATTATACTGACATTTAGTTGAATTCACTTTTAAAATATATTATATGGCTCTCACTGAAATAAATTTCCAAATTTTTTGCTTTCATGGCTCTCTTAGTCAAAAAGGTTCCCGACCCCTGGTGTAGACCTACTGTCGGTGTCGGAGCCTTCTACATTAGCTTTAGCTGCCCCGCCCATCTCTAAACCTTTATAAACAGCTCTTTGATTGGTGTAGACCTACTGCCGGTGTCGGAGACCTCTCCTACATTAACATTAGCTGCCCCGCCCATCTCTAAACCTTTATAAACAGCTCTTTGATTGGTGTAGACCTACTGCCGGTGTCGGAGACCTCTCCTACATTAACATTAGCTGCCCCGCCCATCTCTAAACCTTTATAAACAGCCTGCCTCAGCAGCTTTCCCCCTTTTTTTTCTCCTGATGACGATTGCTTGTGTTGCGATCGAAACGTCGTGATATTTTTATTATTTTTTTATTCACTTTATCTTTATTATTTTATCTTTATTATTTTTTCTACGTGACTTTACCGAAAGAACCATAGAACATGAATTCCTGCAGTCACGAAAGTGTTAAGTCAAAATTTAGTTCTAAGGAAATGTTTTAAATCTAGATTTAAATGTGCATAGCTCAAGTGGCTTCCGAATATCGGAAGGAAGCAGTGGATCTGACAAAAAGATCCGCACATGCACGAGCAATGCGCATCGACCGGTTTTGTTGTCGTTCTTGAAACTCATTGGCACGGAATACGCATGCGTTGAGAATTAGGTCGCCGGTGGTGATGTTAACGGAAGCATCTTGTTTCAGCAGGGTTTGAGCTTTGGACCTCCGAACCTCTGTGCCTCGCCATTGGAGGACCTAAAAAAATTCCGAGTTCTTGGCGTCATAGGCAAAGTAAGTCGTTATTTGTGATGTACCACATTGACTTAGGGGTCTGCATTATTTATCGCGTACGCTGGAAAAATATATGTAGTGTTCTATGATCGTGCAGTCCCACGTTAAGTTAATGTGACGGAACGCTTCAACATCGGATGTAGTTTTCAACTTTTGCTTTAGGATGCATAGCTATGTTTTAAAAACAAATCTAATCTTCATACTTTTGTTCGTTGTAGACAGATGGTTTGAAAAACATAATTCACATTCTTTGCCTCCTTTTCATAAAGCATTTATATTAAAACATTTTATGCCTACGGATAGAGTTTGCAAATAAATCTCTCCATCAGCAGCAGCAGAGTGGAAGTGCTTTTAGATCTAAATGCGGATTAATTCAAACCTCCAGGGACTGCATAACATGCAATGTTAGTTACATGTAGTAAACTTGAGTGAAAACCATAATTTCATGTCTGCATTCATGTGAGGTCCCTTCAGTTCAAGAGCCTCACCGAGCAATCAAATTAATGCTTGGCAGCCAAGAAAGCTTTCCAAAGTGAATGTGGATTAGTCCAGGCTGCTTGCTTGATTCGGCATGGCATCATTAGACTGAGAGACTCACGGTAAGTTTCAAAAGAACATCTGTGATACTTGGGGGGAGAGTGTATATCGCAGTGCGCCAATCCATATGCGCGCACCTCCGTTGAACGCGCTCGCACGTGATGTTTTCCAGGGCTGTTGTGAGTCCACTCATATGCATTGCTTGTGAGTGGTGATGCATTGCTGAAATGGTCAAATGCATACTAAATGCTTAATAGTCAAATGTCTGGAATAGCATTGAAATGATTGGTCGAAGAGATTGATTAATGGATTATACAAATAATAGTATTTTTTGTTAATGATTGATTGATTGATTTGTGTCCAGGTGGCTCAGCGGTAGAGCGAGCAGCTCGCAATAGGAAGGTTGCGAGTTCAAATCCTGGTTGGGGGTTGACTCAGCCCATCATCCCTTTTCAACCGATAACGTAGGCACTATTTTGTGGGGACGTTAGCAGTGTTTGTCCTATGCATAACACACACCCCTGCCATAGGAACGCCAAATTTACACCAATGGCTCAGAGTTGTAAACGGGAGATGAGCACCGATATGCCTCATTGCTCATTTGAGGAGGAAATAACTTTTACTGTTTTGACTGTGTGGAAATATTGCACGCTGGGCGTCCAGCCTCCGACATGCGGGGAACTCAGCGCAGTTCGCGTCCATCATCACTATGGTGACATGTGATGAGGGCGATGTGCTGTTGGCCATGCACTGTGAACCCCTCCTGTGGGGGAGAGTGGTGGGCGCAATAGCTTGCGCACTGCGATATGAACTGGCGCCCCAAACCAAATTCGATTCCTGGCTGCTGCCAACATCAGTGGCGAGTGATATATGAATCAGCCCGCCTTTACCAGGCTGCACTCACCAGCATGGTGAAGTATGGTCAAACGGCCCCAACGACTGAAATTCTTGGCGAGCCCTTCATCCGGTAGTGGGTTGACAAAAAAGCTCTCGTGTAGAATTCTTAATACAATGTGCATATTCATATTCTTAGTTTTTTCGGTAAAGTCACGTTGAAGAGAAACAACAAAATAACAAAATATATATAAAACAATAAAAAATTCTCACGACGTTTCGACCATAACTCAAACGGTCATCATCACACCTGATGATGACCGTTTGAGTTATGGTCGAAACGTCGTGAGAATTTTTTATTGTTTTATATATATTTTGTTATTTTGTTGTTTCTCTTCAACGTGACTTTACCGAAAAAACTAAGAATATGAATTACTGCAGTCACGAAAGCTTTAAATCAAAATTTAATGTGCATATTGATCCATCTTTTTGAAATAAAAAAAAATTCAAATAAATGGCCCCCTCGTGTATCAACATCGAATGAACACCAGAGTGCTTCTTCTTTTGCACGGCTGATGTAGATGCTGAGCAACAGCTACAATTTCACGTTCAGGTGGTCAAGCCAAATAACCGCGTCAGGAGCAACGGAGTGTGCATCGCTATGATGTCTTCTTCGTATTTGTCTTCATACGTTGTACGGTCTCTGTTCTGGGTGACCACAGTCGTGTACTACTGGAGAGTTTTTTTTAAGTCTCCATTTGTGGATCAGGTATCCGCATCTGCCATGGTTTGTGCGGAGCGCTGCATGGCAGACGCGATTTCTCACGCTCACGGCCTTTTGGTATCTTGGTGGATGGGGGCTTCTGCCTAATTTTCTTGAGCAATGAGTTCACGCTACGAAAGTGCGAGAACGTTGGCGCCATTGATGCAAAGTGGGTGAGCTGTAATTGGCGCATTCCTGAAAGAAATTCAGGAAAATGAAACAAATAAAGCACACGCGCGGGAAAAAAAACTCCACCGTGTACTTTGTGCTCCAATTCACTTTCGGACAGTTGTTGCCCAGAGCTGTTCCTGAGTGAAATTGATTTAAATGTTTTGTCCGAGTCTCATGTGCTGTTGCCCATGCAAGCGGCCGCATTAAGCCACGTGTCTTTTCAAAGTTTACCGTGGTTTTAAATGACGTTTAACATCTTCTCGTATTGTCATTTTAATAAACAAGTCGTCAATTATTGATGGCTGCTTTTAATCTGCGTGATCTACAGCTCGGCTTATTTTCACGCGGGTGAATAAAGTGACCGTATGGTCCATACTAAAGATGCATGTCATTACACGGCGCTTACATTATAATAATAATATACAGTGGCCGTTTACATATTAAAATATTTTTTTTACAAATCCCTGGCAGATACAAAGCACGGTCCAAATATGCCGTATAGGATAACAGCTCGTAACTTTAAAATGCAACGTTCACCGGGTCTAAAGTTGTGAATATGGATGGGCGCGCATAAAGATGAGGGGAGCAGCGAGTACTTGGAGGGTCAAGGTTTGTCTCCCCAACGGTCACAACATGTTCCCTTTGTGGCCAGGTGCTGCTTGTTCTTGACCCGAAAAACGGTGAAACGTTCGTCATGAAGGTAAGACAAAGCGCACGCTGGCTGTGATGACGTGGTGTATTTCATTCGTCGTTTTGTTGTTTCGCCTCCGTCTTGAACGCAACGTAGCCCGCGCTCGTCCTGTAAGTCCGGCAGGTTTGTGGAGCAGAATGACACAGGGCTTCTGCGGGGTCGTGCTAAACGTTGGAAACTTTCGCAGTCATCTGAATGCCTGTTGTTTTTGTGGGTGTGTTTTTGTTGTTGTTCCCCGCTCATGGCTAACACCAGTGACGGTTAAATTATCTGATCCAGTCCTGGGCCTCTCCTAGGTGGATTAAGCCTCAGTTGAATACCTAGTGCGATGTGTAAAAATATTGCCACTAGGGAGACAAAGGCGGCCGGGCGTGATGCTGGCCACCCACCCCGTTGTGTGCCTTTCTGGCCTTCACAGGTACTCGCTAACAGCACTTGCCCCAACAGTATATTAAGGCTATACTGGGGGATCTTTGTCTTTGTTGTTTCGAGCGGGCCTGTTTGTACGAGCTATGGCAAGGGGAGAGTAAGGCCACTGCCTGGCAGGTGAAGCTCAGTTGAGTCTAAAAAGGAGGGGGTGAACAACTGCGACTACTGATTCCGTTGACATTATTGATTGGCTGATTAAGGGGCATGGTTCGAGTATGAAAAAAAACCTTTCACGTAGGGCACTGGAATACGCTATTTTTGAAATGCGCGTTGCGCATGCCAAATTGTAATGAACCCGCCCTATTATGAGCGTTGGGGTTGTTATTGTGTTGTCCGGGCTTTAGTGCCTTGATATAATGCATATAATGTGGGCTTTGTGGACTCGCTGATGACCTGCTCCTTTCTTTTCTTCGCGTTTACTCCCTTTCCCAGGCGACACCGGCTGCGCTTCTGTCTGTCTGTCCCCTCCCTCCCTCCCTCCCTCCCTCCCTCCCTCCCTCCCTCCCTCCCTCCCTCCCTCCCTCCCTCCCTCCCTCCCTCCCTCCCTCCCTCCCTCCCTCCCTCCCTCCCTCCCTCCCTCCCTCCCTCCCTCCCTCCCTCCCTCCCTCCCTCCCCTCCCTCCCCTCCCTCCACCGTCTGTCCTTGTTGAGCCTTGAACATTTCCTCGTGTGACTTTGTGCTCTTGTCTTTATGTAAAAAGGCTGCTTGAAATGTTTTTGACGACCGTGTTGTCAATCCACTGCTGGGTGAAGGCCTCGCTATGCAGTGCCGGCCATGGCCATACTTGACGACTCTGATCAATGTTGGTAGGTGAAGTGGTGCGCCTAGGATCGGTTCATATATCACTCGCCATCCATGGTAGCGGTGGCTAGGAATCCAATTCGGGAAGCTTGATTTGTTAGCGGAGTGCGCTAACCACTGTGCCACACCATTTAGCCTAAATTGAATAATAATTAAAATGTAGAAGTAAACTAAATAATTCATGAACGAAATGAATGCGGGTATTGGGTGGATCGATGCGTCGCGATCGTGGGATTGTGAGAGATGGCAGCAGCTTGTAGGGGCCTTCATCCATCAGTAGATTGACTCAGACCGGTGATGATACTGATGGTTTCACAGTGCCCGCGTCCCCTGACCTCTGGAAGTGGGGCAACTGATGCTTGCGTTCCACTCTAGGGGCTTAGGAAGAGCAGCCAGATGAGCCAGATCCAGAAGACGGTGGTGGTGCGCAGCGTGCCCTTCTTGGTCCATCTCATCCGCTACTTCTCCACCGAAGACTCCATCTTCCTGCTGTTGCGCTACGCCACCGGTTGGTAGTGGCATCACTGCACACCCTCTCCACCATTATATATACAGATATTGCTATCGGCGTCCTGTCGCAAGAGGAAGTATCCAAAACATTAAAATTCACGGAGGCTTTTCTGGCTAAATAAAAGGGATGATGAAAAACGCGTGCAGTTGCCTTCACAGCAACATTGGTGACACTCTTCCCAAAGCCTGGCTTTTTGCGTCATTTCAGGAGGACAGCTGTGGTCCAACGTGAGCGGATTTCTGAACCGGAGCCCCGAGGAGAGCGTGGAGTACGCGAGGGAAGCCGAGGCGGATGCCGCAGACTCCAGCAGGGATTCGGACGAGCAGCGAGCAGGCGTCGCCGCACTCCTCGTCCCTCAAGTGGCCACGTCCTCGCCGGCCTCGTCCTCCGAGCCGCCCCAGGCCCCGCTCGCTGACATCACCGAGATCAGCAAGGGCAGCTCGTACGACGACGGTAGCACTTCCGAAGACGGCGACGAGGAGGAGGACGAGGAGCTGGATGACTCGGAGGTGAAAGGTGACGACCGCTCTCTGTCCACAGACTCCGGTGAGAGAGAATACTCCAACAGCTACCTCAGCTTGTTCCAGGAGTACCAGCAGGAGGCCGAGCAGCGGGTGACGGAGGAGGTGGCTCAGCCTGTGAACGCGTTCTCCGCCACGGACGGGGCCGACTCAAACTCTCAGTGCCAGGAGATGAGCGGACAGTCGATGTCGCATCTGAGCTCGGACAGCCTGTGCTCGCCCGCCACGCTGCAGGAGCACGTGTTTTTCCCGGCCGAAGGCATTCCGGACGTCTTCGCGGAGCCACCCCGCTCTGGCGACCACCTGCGAGATTCAAAGAGCAGCCCGATGGAGTTGTTCAGGATCGACAGCGGCGACAGCGGCGGCGACTTCCCCTTCGTCGACAGAGTGGACAGCTCGGAAAGGATGTCGGCGGCACAGGCGGCCGATGGCCGGGACACGAGCGACACGATCGAGGACGTGGTGGCCCAGAACGAGAGGATGATGAAAATCATGCACGACGAGCTGGACGTTTGCGTGGACGCTGGAGTGAGTGACGACAAGTCTGACTCCGCCTCTGAAGTCATTCCCATCATTTCCTTCAGAGAAGCTGCCGAAGAGGACACGTTCAGCCACGGCAGTGGGAGAAGCGATGTGGGAACTTTCTACGCGAGACCTCGCCCGGGATCGGCGGCGAGCGGAGCGCAAGAAGTTGTAGGAACTCCGGACTTGTTCGCTACGGATTCCACGCTACTCTGTGCAACAGGCGGTGTGGAACAGAGTGAACAGGAAGACCGTCACTCAGGGATGATAGCTGTTTGTGGTGAGAGCGACGATCATGCTACAAATGAAATAGAATATAAGGTAGACAGTAATGGAGTTGTGTCCGCTGCCGACGTGGTTCTGGGCGCCGCGGTTGACGCAACAACGGAGGCGAGCAGAACAAACGACGAAGTAAGAATCGAAGCAGACTCCGACCTTGGCGCGGTGGTCGACAGTGTCCGCGAAGGAGACAAAAAACTCGAGGGCAATTCTCACGATCACTCCACCAAGACGAACGTGGACAACGGCAATGCCACGTTTGGAGACGTGTACGCTAGTCAGGGCCTTTTGGAGAGCGCGGCAACGATGGCGACGGCGGCGGTGGCGCTGCCTTGGGTCGACGCCACCCGTGCCGAAGCCGAGGCAGTCGCCACTGCGCCCACCGCCACTTGCCCGGAGAGTCTGCCGGTGTCGAAAGTACGGCGACACGCCGAGGAGGAGGAGGACGACGGTGACGACGACGTTAATACGTCTACCGTGGCAGCGACGCGGGCTCGTGACGTCTCTCAGGTCTTCCGGGAGCTGGAGGAGGCGCGGTCACGGGCGACCGAGTGCCGGATCTGCCTGCCCGAGGGCTGCGTGCGGCAGTGGGCCGCCGAGATGGTCGTGGCAGTGGATGGCCTCCACCAACACGGCCTCATCTGCCGCGACCTCAACCCCTCCAACATCCTGCTCGACGACAGGGGTCCGCACTGAGCTCACATTAACGCCCCTGCACGTGACCGTTTAATTTGTTTGGCTGTGTCGAGCGGTGTGGAGGATTACGCGAGAGAATGTTGGCCAGATCGCTCCATGGCCTAACCCTTCGATGAATTATTAACTTGTAGCTGTTTGTAATGACTCTGACTCGATGACCGTAGAATTCACCCAATTCTGTCAGCTCACGGATGCTAAGCAGAGGTTGAGCCTGTATAGTCCTTGAATGGGTGACCACTGCGCTCCAGTTTGTTATCGGTGGCTGTGTGTCTTTGTTTTGACAGCAGAGGGCAGTGCACCAAAATCCGTGGTTGTAATGTACTCCTGTGCCCCACGACTATGCTTCCCACTTTCACCGACCCACAGTGACCAGCTTGGTGAACTTTCGATATTTGACCCCCACGACCAGCATGGCGTGGGAAGCCCTGATTGAGCAGTGGATTGACGAAAAGGTTCATACATGTGTTAGCAGTAGTTGTGGAAGCATTAAGTTATATTTAAGTTGAATATATTCCGTGTGTTCTAGCACATGCAGATTGTAGTATGTTGTTGCTGTCGCTCAACAATGTATACCCATTATAGTAAAACTGTCACTTGGACATTGGACTTGGTTAATCAGCTCCGATCTTGGGTTCGAACCCACTCGGACACGTGATTTAAACGGGTTCTCAAGTGTTGCGGGTTTTTAGCCCAGTCACCAATGATTGCACACGAAAGAAACAGTCCGTTAAATTTGGTTTTCAACTTAATTTGGCTAAAGTCCAACTTGACTACCATGCGGTGTGTATTACTCTCATTTAATAATATTAATTTATCCAGGAGAGTCACACACAGTCCAGGGACTTGTTTGCAGGTGGGTCCTGCATTGGGTTTTTTTTATTTTAAGATAGCCAATTTCAGTGTCCATACAAGTGGGAGGAAACCAGCGCACCCAGAGAAAACCCTCGCACGCAAGATGGAAACAGCTCGAAATGAGTCTACCTGCCACGGTATTACACCACCTTGACACCCACGGGAAGGGAGTTTCACAACATTAGTGTGATCCGCAAACCACCCTCGCTGCCTCTGCATTGCTGCGATCACAGCCGTTGAAATGTGCTGCCTTTCTACTATACAGACCAGGGGTAACTTGAAGTGATCTCAGCGCTAGCTTTGCTATATCCACTTTTGTCGGCAGTTCTCGAATTCCAACGGATGCTCTGTCTCGTAACCTCTTGGGGGGGGTGGGGGGTGGCGGTGAATTCCGAAATATTTTTTCTATAAAAGGTGCAATATGGACTTTATGCGGGAAGCTCAATAGGCTGCATACCAAACAGATACTTGCACAGTATTCGTGCCGCACAATACAAGGTCAAATTGTAGCATCAAAGGAAAATCCGATCTCAGCGGGGGGGGGGGGGGGGGGGGGGGGGGGGACGGAGGTGGCGCCTCTGCCAAAATCCGACACGCTGCCAGCCATCTCCCGAGTTCGCACGGTTCTGTGGCGGCTTCGCCCTCATCTCGCCGGAGAGGAGATGTCACTTGTCCTCTGTGCGTCGCCCGGGTATCAAGTTGGTATAAAAAAAAAAAGTACGTCGACCTTTTGATGGAAGCTGGAAGAACAACGAAGCTCCCTCTTTACCGGAGGTGTCGTCCTGGCAAGGCTGGGGATTGGCGATGGCGGAAGATTGCAAGAGGGGGTTAATGAGATAGACACGTTAGACAATCGCAGGGTTGTCTTAACGTATCGATCAAAACAATAGAATAATATAGAAAAATATACAAACTAAACAATTTTTGTTTTGGCAGGTAAGGTCCACTGAGCTATACAGCTCTTTTTGCAGAAGCTACCTGGCCACAAATGATAGCTCAACGAAGTGGTTTATGTGGAAATGCCTAGCAGCCAAATACTCTAAATGCATGTTGATGCTGAATGTGGAGGGAAAAACCTGAGCGCCCAGAGAAAATCCATGCGACTGCAGGGAGAACATGCAAACTCCATATGTACAACAGGCGTCAGGGTTGAGATTGAACCCACGACCTTCCTGTATACCAGGCGAGGCCTCCATATATGACGGCAATGATTAAAAATAATACAACGAAAGGATACATTTCACATCTGAAAATTCACAGATGTCAAATCACAGTTTGCAGTTATGGCTGTAGTTGACATCGAGCATGAGTTGAAGAGCGTCTCCTGATGGTAGACTCACCAACTTGAGAGAGTCGAGGACACAAGCGGATTCCAGAAAAAATTGGTGGCCGTGACAGCAGAAAGATAACGGCCGTAGTTTTTAACAGCCTACAAGAATTCTCCTTGCCACGTGAAAATCATGAGTTTCCGGTTACGGTTAGATATTGAAACGAGAAACTTGATTCAAATGCACGTCACGATGCCGCAATTAAAATCTATTTTCATTTAATTGTGCACGTAAGAAGCTGTCATCCATAAGCTACTGTAACTTGTTCGAAATTAATAATTTGCTCATGTAACGAATGAGATTGCACACACGAGACTGATAAAAACACAAAAGAGATGGTAAAAATATAATAATAGGGTTTTTCCCCTTTTTCTGGCAACAAAACTGAAACCTTTTTACAAGGATTCATGTCTGCATTAACCACAATACCTGCAGTCAAAATGTTAACAAAAAACATACTATGATCATATATGCATTGTCCTTGAAACGGATTGGTCCACACCAAGGGACGGCTTTCTTTTGAACCTCGACCCAATTGGTGCTCGACCAGATGACACCAAATGGCGTACAGCTCAAAGACAATGCACTATCAAAGTTATGAGGGCTCGGGGTGAGCATCTACATCATTAGACCTCCTTTGCCAGTACCAAAATGTAATTATAATAAAAGGGGAAAAACCCTATAATTACATTTTGGTACTGGCAAAGGAGGTCTAATGATGTAGATGCTCACCCCGAGTCCTCATTACTTTGCTAGTGGATTGTCTTTGAGCTGTACCACATTTGGCGTCATCTGGTCGAGCACCAATTGGGTCGAGGTTCAAAAGAAAGCCATCCCTTGGTGTGGACCAATCAGTTTCAAGGACAATGCATATATGATCATAGTATGTTTTTTGTTAACATTTTGACTGCAGGTATTGTGGTTAATGCAGACATGAATCCTTGTAAAAAGGTTTCAGTTTTGTTGCTAGAAAAAAGGGGAAAAACCCTATTACATTTTGGTACTGGCAAAGGAGGTCTAATGATGTAGATGGTAAAAAATTTACTAAAAGGAATGGATTTTAAAAAATCTATTAATGCTAATTGATTATATTGCTGTGTTAGGAGGGGCTGAGTCAGTCAGGTGGTTACATGACCTATTGGTTATGTTTATTCGACGTGTTTCAGTCCGTTCCACAGTTAATTTAAGAGATGAATGTCCTCCCACGTGTTGTGCTTTCAGGACACATTCTGCTCACCTATTTTGGCCAGTGGAGCGAAGTGGACCAGAGCTGCAGCAGCCTTGCACAGGAGCAGTTCTACTGCGCCCCTGGTGAGTGCCGGGTGTGACCCAGACAGACACGGGCCACTCGATGATCGCTGTATGTATGTATGTCTGTGCGTGCGTGCTTGTGCGGGGTAGTGTAGCAGCGCACCGCACTATCATCCTGTCGACCTGAGTTCGATTCCCACTCATGACCAATAACCGTGGCGAATATTTGAACCGGTCCTGGGCCTCACCGAGGTAGATTTACACCTAGTGCTGTGTGTAAACATCGCCACTGGGGAGACAAAGGCGGCCGGGCATGGTGCTGGCCACCCACCCACCCACTGGTGTGCCGTGCCAGCCTTCATAGGCGCGCGCTAACAGCACTTGCCCTAACAGTGTTTAAAGGCTACAGCGGATATTTGTTTTTGTGTACAGGGGAGTGATAATGTTGGGCTGATGGGAGGGTAATGTGTACCCCCTTGTGCGTTGTCGAGCAGAGGTCGGTGGTATTGCTGAGGAGACCGAGGCCTGTGACTGGTGGAGTCTTGGTGCCATAATGTTTGAACTCCTGACGGGACAGGTTTGTCAAAACATTCCCTTGAACATCCCTTTACTCAGAGGAATGCGTGCTATTGTTTTAATCGAACGATAACTTTCCTAAAGATCGCTTATAAGTTACGTGTCGAGCTAGGACCCATTTCTTCCTGAAAGGGCCTTGCCGATAAATATCAGGCAGTTCACTGGCATCGGTTCAAGCAAGCCTGACTGCTGATGAGACACTGAATGTGAAAACCAAACAAGAGTTTGCTTCTATTGAACCAGTACTGCTGATAAGATGAAAGAGTTTGTGGCCGATGGCTTGTATTTAAAAATATGTTTATGCGGAGAGACGAATGTGGGAAGGAGAAATTATTTGTGCTACTTAAGCTCAAACTTAAGTAAGAGGGCAGTGGAGAACATTTACTGTTTATGGCTTTCACCGACGCAGGCAAGGATGTTGGTGAAAGTTATGGCACGGGGTGGACAGCGGATTTCCAATTCACTTTTTTGTTTCAAATTGGTGCCGTCTTTTCGATTAAACGTTGGACGATTGATAAGACGGGGAGAAAAGTCCGCGTCCTTCCAAAAAGCAACTCGTGCTGCCTGTGAGCACGATGAACGTCTGTATAGGCCCTTATATTTTGTCGAATGAATACATTTAGGGTTTGTTTTAAGTCGACATATAGCCACGTCTGATGAACGTCTTTCATTACAATCAAGAACGTTCTAATTCTAAGCGTGCTGTGTCCGGTAGTGGCTATTGAAGGAAATTAATTATTTTTTGGAAAATTACGTTTCTCAATTTTCATGAATATATTTTGATTACAATGCATGCATGTACAATTCACTGCAGGATGAGGGCATCGCTACAACACGCGGGTTATTGGGGGGTTATTTTACCATATTCTACCACGCTGGTCAGTGTGAGGTTGGGGAGGGCGCGGAGCATAGACGTGGGACCATAGAAGTACAGCACACTAATGGATTTTGCGATAGTGACCTTTGCTGCCCACAACATATATCCGCAGCACCTATGGCAACCCTATTGTGCATTGACATTCTGGGTGATTTGTTCAAAGCCTTTGATTGCATCAAGTTCAGGTTTTTGTCTTTTGTCTTCCGTTCCTTAAGGGAAGACCCAGCAAGCGATGGCGCGCGTATATTTTCATGACTCTGCTTTTTTTTTTGCGAGCGTCCGTGCAGGCACTTCACGTGTCCCACCCGACTGGCATCACAACGCACACTACGCTACACCTGCCCGAGCATCTCTCCCCAGAGGCTGCCTCGCTCCTCCGCCAGGTGAGATTAACTTCAGAATAATCATTTTTATGATTAAATAAATAAACCCACACTACTTGCGCGCACCATAGCACGGGTGTGCACGGGTGTAAAGTCACCGCGTTTTTTTTGCCATGCACCTAGCCATGCAATATCCATCTGTTTAGTTTGCACTTGCATGTAGAGTGTGTGTTTGTATACGGATATTTATTTGGCATTCAGCCATCTAAGCCTTATGGACGTGTTTGGCGATGCGGGTTGCTTGCCCATGTCTTGTGTATGTGTCGTGGGGAGTGGTGGCACGGCGGTCAGGTTATGCATTGCGCTGCAATGCCGGCAACGAGCGTTCGATTCCCGGCCACGGTCACCGTCGGTGGCAAGTGACCTCTGAACCCTTCCTCTTGGTCGAATGAGTAGCTGCTGCGGCGTGTAAACATCCAACTCTGGGGAGAGAAACGCAGCAGCGGGGCGTGGTGCTGGCCACACTGTTGCCCTACCCCCCATTGCCCCCCGCACGCCTTGCCGACCTTCACAACCGCTCGCTAACAGCCCACTCCACCCCCCCCCCCCCAACGGTCTACGTAGGTTAACACGCAGGGATCTCTTTTTTTATATTTTTTTGCGCGTGCTGTGGAGCAGCTGCTGCAGTTCAACGCGTGGGAGCGGCTGGGAGTGGAGGAGATTCGAGCGCACCCCTTCTTCTCGGCGGTGCAGTGGGGCCGGCTGGCCGGACACTGAGACCCCGCGCAGAGGCCAGGCTGCCGTCGGCCAGTCACTCCGCCGCAACCCCTACTCGCCTTTTCTTGCCCAGATGTGCTGCGGAAGTGTCAATGACCGACACTCTCCACCCCGGTTTGTGCCACGAGCAAGGCGTCACACAATGCTTGCCTGTGGCACTACGGCGGGCGTGGTCAACTACAATTTTGGTGGCTGCACTTTAACAGCGTTGGTCCTGTCGAAATGTTGCCAACAGCCAGCACGATTGTACGTTTGTGTTGTTTTCACTGGTATGTTGTTGGTTCGTGTTGCGTTGGCTTTTTTGTTTTTGTTGTATGAAGACCATTGTCCTTGAACAGCGTCTGGTGAAACGTCACTTCAGGTGGGTCGGAACAAAATGATAACGTGGAGGTGTGACTGCCTCTGAAGACAGATGAATAGCTGAAGGCTTTAGAAGAGTGTCCTCTGCTGTGATTTTCTCATGACTCCCGTCACTGATTCTGAACATATCTCATTTGGGGGGGGGAATAAGGTGATCTCTGAAAAACTTTTGATTGTTTTTATTATTTGTGTGCCATGCGCGCGTGCTGTACGTGTAACCTCATTCCTGAAAGAAAGAAAGAAAGAAAAAAAAATGCACTCCGATTTGCGCGTGCAATATTTTGTAACTTTAATTTTGCCGCGGCTGTGAGTGGGGGGGGCGCGGGGCAGGGGGGCGGGTTGGTTACGATGAGAAGCGCGACGCCCGTTAAAAGTTCCCCCCCCCCCCGCCCCGCCTCTTGTCACGTTTTGGCTAAATGGCGATGCGTGCCCTTTTTTTGGCGCAGGACAGGGTGCAGTGTTGCGCCTCGATCGCCGTGTGTCCTCAAAGAAATAATGTGAGCAGGTGTTTGCCTTGTCCCACATCACAAATGCGACGTCGCTTTGTTGTTAGTTGCGCAGAAGTATCACGTGCCAGGCGGTCTCAGTTTTTAGCACTGTACTCTGTGACTGCTGTAGGACTGGATTACTTGTTCCAGAATTGGCCTGTGATTTTCGGTGGTTTTATATTGCTTTTCATGATTGTATGATATGCAAAACAATATACATGTAAAACATTACAGGCTATAAAGTGGCACATATGCTGTCTTCGTGAAAATACTGGGCTTTTACAAAGGAAACTGATTTATGAGGGCACCCCCCCCCCCATTCGTGAATTAGCCCCATATTTTAAGGGCACGTTCTATCTTGTGAGAATATCTGAAAGATCCGTGTTGTAACGCTAACCGCCGCTAACCTGACGCAGTAAGTTGTGCCGGGAGCTTGGCAATTGCCCGCAGGGTGATTTCTGGACTGATTAAGAAAAAGTGCCCGTTGAATTAATTTAAAGTGTTCCCATGTTTCGGCGCTTTTTTATCTGCAAGAAATCGGCACCTGTGTTAATTATAAATACCTTTATACTTGGTACTTACTTGGTCTTGGTGACTTTAGGGAAGGGCATTTCTTGGCATGGTGGCAAAACCAATGCATTCTTTGAATATAACTCGAAATGCTGAGAATCTGAGATTTAGCCACGCAACAATTTGCCCCTTAAAGATTCGATTACTGTTTAACATTGTGGTGCATGTAGGACCTGTGTTGGCTCCAAGGGTCACGTGAGAATCTCGCATACGAGGGTGGCACCAAGAGTTCCGAGCCTGGTGCAGAATGATATAGCGGAGACCACTGATGCTACAACTGCTCACAGTCCACGGTTGAGTTTACCCATACAGCCAGGGTACAAAATCCATCTATTGCAGGTAGACCATGATGGATGCTGACGATTATTAAATCAAGCATTTTGCTCTCCCGACATTTTTGACACTAGAACACGAAACAATGATTTAATGTCCAAACACAAGTTGAAAGTGTTACAACGCGACAATGCACCATCATACGCAACAACGGACATACTGCAGGCTGCTGATTATCCGTCGTGACAGAACGGACCCTTGAAGATGACCGCAAGGGTTGAGGCGGCCAGCGACTGCGGTGAATGAGGGAAATATCAAGGCCGTGCGACACGCGGTTTTGTAAGACCGCAGCCCAAGTCAGCTTACACCTTTGGCATTGGTGTGGGATCGGTGTAAACAATGAACCAGGCAATGAAACAATAAGAACAGGCTTTACCCTTTCCGGCAATATCGCAGGTTTTAAAATGTTCAAACACCAAATACGACATCTATTGTAAGGCATCAAGTCTGCATTAACCACACGTGTTGCCACAAGTATGTGCGGTGAATGCAGACTTGATGCCTTTTAATATGTACGGTGCAAAAGAATTTCAACATTCATACACACAGTTTGTTGACCATCCCCTGCACCTCCGATGGGCACGGCCGGCGACGTACGGTGCGAAAGAAATTCAACATTTGAACGTCTCAAAACCTGTGTTATTGCCAGATATGGTAAAGCCTATTATTTAATAATTTCGATAATGGCAAAAAAGGTCCCATAGATAATGAACCAGCTGTGTGCACGTCAGGGTTGCCAGGGCACCGACACGTGGCATCAAGAGCGAGCGTCCAACGATGACTTCCCCTGACAATCTTGTCCGGGTGGAGGCGGACTTGGGGCATAGTTTTAAGTGGGCGATTCGCTACCAGCGACGAGGCCTGGAGTTGCCGACACGACCCCGGACGGCAGTCGCTCCCCCACAGTGGAAACGTCCGGCTTCTCCAAACAGCCAAGAAAGTCAAGCGAGAGCGCCCTGAGGGGAAGAACTTGCCCGCCACTGCATGGGATTCTGCGAGGAGTGTGGTGCACGTTGACTTCATGGCCCACAAGCAGACGATCGCAGGTCAACATTATACAGACTGGCTCTGGCTACCTGCATTGGCCAATAAACAGAGTGCTCTTGGAAAGGTGAGCGTGACTCACTTGTACGCGACAACACTCTAGCACACACTGCAAGAGTTGTATGCTGATGCCGTCAATGAGTTTCACTTTAATAAACTCCCACACATCACTGCCTCTTCTCCAGACCTGGTTTCCAGTGATTTTCTCCGGTGTCCCAAATTGAATGAGCATCTGCATGGAAAAGCATTTTGAGAATGATAATGGTTGTGTTGGTGGTGATGATCTGAAAGAAGCTGAGCGGGGGAATCTGAATAGAATGGAAGAAAACTTATTTCTGGGTTAAATTGAAAAGGTTTAAAAAAGCGAAAAATTACGTGGTTCTTATTGATGTACATACATATGAACCTTATGGTGGGACCCCGGGGTCCCGATTGAACGGAAGTAAAAAGCGTAATTGTTTTATTTTTGGCAACTCCGTCCCACCGCGCACATAAACGCCGCGACCCACCTGGCGCGGATCATTCTGTTGTCGTGTCCAAGCGCAGCGAGGACGAATGCGCAGAAGAAACAGCTTTGAAAACGTGTAGAGCTCGTCGAGAGGAATAGATTGCCGTATGGTTCGCCTTCAACGGACATAAAATGACGTCGCAACGCAATTTATGCGAGAGCCGGGGGCATATGGGACCCGCCATAAGGTTCATATGTTCAGCTCAGAACCTTTCAAATCACCTTCGTACAATGTAGATTTGAAAATAATTGATTCTTGCATGTGCGATTGGTTGCATGTAATAAGAGTGTGAAAATCAATTTGATGTGTCATTGCTTGCCTATTTGGCATGAAAATGATGTGAACAAAAATAATGCCAGTCTGCCAGCAACTTTACACTCGCTGTGTCCAGCAGATGAGATATGGCTTTACATAATTGTCTTGAAACATTCTTAAACACACAATTGTTGCCTTTGAGACAGTCTTTTCCATCCCAAGAGCGAACTTCTCATGAGTTACCCTTTCCGTATGGACTGGGAGCCATCCCTGGGGTTGAGATTAAAGCACTTTCCCAGTTACCATCAATAACCATGGTCATTAAATTTTGATTTAAAGCTTTCGTGACTGCAGTAATTCATATTCTTAGCTCTTTCGGTAAAGTCACGTTGAAGGAAAACAATGAAATAATAATATATATAACAATAAAAATTCTCACGACGTTTCAAAACGTCGTGAGAATTTTATATTGTGTTATATATATTTTATTATTTTATTGTTTCCCTTCAACGTGACTTTACCGAAAGAGCTAAGAATACAAAGCAAATTCCTTTAAAAAAATGTATACGAACTTTAAGCTTTAAATTAAACAATAAACGCTCACTCTCGATGACCTTATGTCTGGCATTTGTCATTATGCTCATCTTCTTCCTTGGTTCTTTCGGTAAAGTCACGTAGAATGAGAATCAAATAATAAAATAAAATAATAAAATTCTCACGACGTTTCGGCCACAACACAAGTGGCCTTCATCAGGTGAAGGGACTGGACTGTCCAGAGGACAGCGTTGGAGTGAAGACAGCCAAGCCCAGGTCGCGTCCTTTAAGCTCTGTGGGAGGAAACAAAAAACGCCTTGACAAAGGAATTAGCATAACAATGATGTACTGGACCGGCACGGTGGGGGTGGGGGGGGAAGGAGTTTACATAATGTTGGTGTGAAGGGAAATAAGTGGCTGTGAAAGTTTGGGATACCACTACTTGAAAAAATATACTGTACCATTGAAAATTAGTTTAATGTTTGGTTTGATTTCGAACATCTTTCCAATGAATGCTTAATTTGAAACCATCCTCTCGGTTGAAATTGTGTCTGTGTTTCTAAATCTGAATTGCCTCGTGGACAAATCTCTGATAAAAAAAAATCCGTGGGTTTGCAGAGAACCTTGGTATTGGAGAAAACTATATCGTGATCACCCACAGCGTTGTAACAGCTATGTAACAGCTATTAACAGTAACTGGGTATACACTACACTATATAATGAATACCATATAGTAAACCAATAAAAAACTAAAATATAAACTACCTCAATGTTCATATTCTTAGTTCTTTCGGTAAAGTCACGTTGAAGGGAAACAACAACGTGACTTTACCGAAAGAACTAAGAATATGCATTACTGCAGTCACGAAAGCTTTAAATCAAAATTTACCTCAATGTTATCAATACACTCTATATATGCTCCAATCAGCTAAGCTACCAACAATAAGTCGTTATATATCACAATGCTACAGATGGAACCAGAGATGCTGTTCCAGACATACAGTACCCGGGCGTTTACAAACTAAAGTGCCTCTGTGGTAGTAGCTACATTGGAGAAACCAAACGACATATCTCGGACCGCATCTGCGAACATAAAGAAGACTTGAAACACGGTAGAACGAACTCCTCTGCCGTGGCAGATCACTGTTATAATTCAGTGGGCTCACATGACATTGACTTCTCCAAGACGGAGGTTCTTTGCAAACCAACCGGCTACCATGAGAGATTCGTTCATGAGGCAATTCACATATACAAGCACAGAGACAATTTCAACCGAGAAGATGGATTCTGGCTTAGTAACCATTGGAAAGATGTTTTAAACCATTTCGGTTCTTAATTAATTGTATTTTACGATGACCTTCAGACCGCAGGTCTTTCGCTGGCATTGACTCTTAATACCCCTCACACCACGGTTAATGGTATGGTTTACAACATGGAGTATAACAGCGCCTCGCAGCTGTCTCTCTCCCCCTCCTCCGTTCCGACCATGGATGAACTCGTCCGTCTGAACGGGGCCCGTAGCTATCCGTGGTGCTAAAGTTGAGGGTAAGAATCCACCCATTTTTTCGCCATATGGCATTATGATATATAACGACTTATTGTTGGTAGCTTAGCTGATTGGATAATATAGTTTATTGATAACATTGAGGTAGTTTATATTTTAGTTTTTTATTGGTTTACTATATGGTATTCATTATATAGTGTAGTGTATACCCAGTTACTGTTAATAGCTGTTACATAGCTGTTACAACGCTGTGGGTGATCACGATATAGTTTTCTCCGATACCAAGGTTCTCTGCAAACCCACGGGTTTTTTTTATCAGAGATTTGTCCACGAGGCAATTCAGATTTACAAACACAGACACAATTTCAACCGAGAGGATGGTTTCAAATTAAGCATTCATTGGAAAGATGTTCTAAATCAAACCAAACATTAAACTAATTTTCAATGGTACAGTATATTTTTTCAAGTAGTGGTATCCCAAACTTTCACAGCCACTTATTTCCCTTCACACCAACATTACGTAAACTCCCCCCTCCCCACCTCCACCGTGCCGGTCCAGTACATCATTGTTATGCTAATTCCTTTGTCAAGGCGTTTTTTGTTTCCTCCCACAGAGCTTAAAGGACGCGACCTGGGCTTGGCTGTCTTCACTCCAACGCTGTCCTCTGGACAGTCCAGTCCCTTCACCTGATGAAGGCTACTTGTGTTGTGGCCGAAACGTCGTGAGAATTTTATTGTGTTATTTTATTATTCTCATTCTACGTGACTTTACCGAAAGAACCAAAGAAGATGAATCCTTGCAGTCACGAAAGCTTTCAATCGAAATGTATGCTCATCTTGTTATGAAAATAACATTTTAAAAATAAATTATTACATTGCAATTATATTTTGATGGGGGAAAAACCACGCAAAGATGGTGGTCCAAACAAACCCTCAATCTCGGTGTAACTTCCCGGCTGAAGTTTTATTCAATGCCCGGGAGCAATGTATTTTAAACGAGCAGGCAATAGAAGAAAAGACAAAAATCCGGTGATTTGCTTTCAATTGAATAATATAGTTAGAAATTTCAGGAATGTTTCTGCAGAAATTCTCCAAGGCCAGGAGTGCAAGTTTACCTACAGTTTTTTTTTTTACAAATAACATCGCCGAGGCATTTTTCAGGGGCATTGCGTACACAACCGCTTCTAGTATGCAATTTGTTTTGTGTTGGCGTATGCATTTGCAGTCTTGCAAACAGTGACTAAGGGTGGAATGGCGAAAAGTGGTGCCCTGCGTTGTTTAGATCCGCGTGGTGGTGCAGACGGTGCATTGTGTTCAGATGTGGCGGTTGTGTGCTGCAATTTTATATTGGCAAGTGCCGAGGCTTCTGGAATCTGTTGAGCTCCTGTATGCATGCACTTA